AATAATATATTTATATATACTATGAATTATCTTAATAACATATTAAGGTTTAATTCAAAGAAATAATAATTAAAAATTAGAATAAAATAAAATAGATTTAAAATATTCTATTTCCATATAGAAAATTAGCTAATAACTATATTTTTTAATGAATGGATACTACATCATTCTTCAATGTAATGAAGCCATAGATCTACATAGAAATTATATGGACGAAGTAGTTACTACAATGCTATTTGATATATAACTAAATCATAAGACTAACTATAAATGACTAAAGAAAAATATGATTGCAATGTAAAAACATTTAAACTAGTCAAATATCTCAATATACTTATTTGTTTTGCTGATTACATATGGCCACCAGAGAAAATTTCATAGATCTTATGATAGAATTTAGTTATATATACGCACACAAAATATATATGCGCGCGTGCGATACATACAATTCCACAATAACAAGAATTTTTTCCTGTTATATTTTATAAATCATAAGAATAATATATGTTATACCGTATATCATAATCCTCATTTAATTATTTTTATGAACTACAACGCAAAATTCATTAATTTGTTAAATAAGTAAATCTATTGAAATATTTTATTATTTGTATACAGGTTGTGTGTATAAGATATATGTTAGGTACACAAAGAAAATGTACCTAAAAAAACGTAGAAAATTAAAAGTCGAGCAAAAGAATAAGAAACTTTTGACTAATGTATGAATTATGTTAGAAAATGCAAAATTAATAGTGTTACACATCAATAGTGTTACACTTATGCATATACATGTACGTCACGTTATAATTTACATGAAATCATACAAAACATATAATCCTCTTTATGAAACGGTTTATATTGAGCAAAATTATTTAATTCTTTTTAACGATGGGGATATTATAAGGATTTTACATTATAAATTCTCTTGAATCTCTTGTTAACATTCTGTGTAAGGCAATTCATACATTTGACGCCATAATGTAAACAAAGAGATGCACAAAATAATGTGAAATATGTTAGTATAACATTCATTGTACAAGGCAAAAATATAATTTAATAATTATAATTATAATTTTATAATTATAAAATTTATATAATGCCAATAGATAAAGATTGCTTCATATGTCGCCAATGTCATAAAATACTTATTACATATATATGCCTTATAATTTAACAATTGTCACTGTAAAACTTTTGCATGCAGTGTATATGAGGAAATTTACAGTCTTCTTACTGTAGAGAACTAACAGTTTTATCAAAAAAGTAGTATACCTTCTACAAAATAATACACCTTCTTCTTCTAATAGGTTCTGGAGGCTCTAAAGCTGCTAATATTGCCTCATCGAAGACATTTTTAAGCCCTTTCTGAAATATTGACAAAAAAAATTGTAGCAAAAAAAATTACCTAATTAAAAAATCAATTCTCAGTTTTATTTGTTGCATAATTACTAAACACAGAAAAAATAAGTTACTGTCATACCTGTGTAAGAGCACTACATTCAACATATTTTACGGCTTTTAATTCCTTAGCAAGCTTTTCTCCTTGTTCACTCGAAATAGCCTTTTGTTTATTTTTTGCTAGTTTTTCAATCGTGGCTGCATCATCTCGTAAATCAATTTGTGTACCGACTAATAAAAATGGCGTTTTTTGACAATGATGCGTTATTTCTGGTACCCACTATTAATATTTAAAAATATAGATAATTATACATAAAGATAATTATACATAAGGATAAAACATTTGAAATAATGATTAATTTTGATTATACCTTTTCTTTAACATTTTCAAATGATGATGGTGACACAACTGAGAAGCATACAAGAAATACATCAGTTTGTGGATAACTTAATGGACGTAAACGATCATAATCTTCTTGACCTAAAAACATATCCAAACACTTAAGTAAGTAAATTGTTGCTAATATAATCTTTTCTATTTTCAAAACAATTTGATATTAAAAAACTATATACTAATGATAATTACCTGCTGTATCAAACAATCCTAATGTATATGGTTCACCACCAATCATGACAGTGACTGCATAGTTGTCAAATACTGTCGGAACATATTCCGATGGAAATTTATTCGTGGTATAAGAGATTAATAAACAAGTCTTACCAACTGCTCCATCTCCAACTACTACACACTTTATTGTTTGCATTTTTAATTTTACCAAATGCTATCTATGGAAAAAAAAAACAAAAATATACTTTGTTGTTTTCTTTGAAAGCTTAAAATTATACAATTATATAAATAATATGATTAGTGAATTAACTGCAACTATATTATTTATGCATTGTCAATTCTTAATAAAGAATTAAATATTATATTCAAAATATTAAATATATTACATTTTATTTCTCATAATAAAATGTTTACCGATTCAATCTTTGTCTTTTTTTCCATGAAATAAAAGTATATCGATTAGTTTCTCTTTGGTTTTAATATCAAATTATTAATTAAGTAACATATACCATCATGGAAACGAATACATTATAATTCAAAGATTTATATTCACATATGGTTATGACATTAATGTACATATAATCTCTCTCGAGATATTGAATATTATTGGTATTTAGATTGAATATAAAATACAAAAATACAACAAGATATAAATAAACATTAACATCAAATAAAACATTATTTTATCAGAAAAAAATTGAGGAGTTGCATTTTTTTAAATGTCTGTGGTTACGTTCACCAGTATAAACAAAATTACGCCAATAAAAATTTGAACAATAGTCCAATAATACTTAATATATATTACGACAATATAGTAATTAGCAGTGACAGATAATTATTGCAAACCTCTTTTATATACGATAATACAGGCGTAAGTTGCAGTTGCACTTATTACAATTGGCAAAGAATCAAAGTGCGGCAAATTAGTTTTGTTCCACCAATTTGAGAATTCATTCGTCTGATATATTATAGATACATGAGGATTAGCGTAATCTCGGCATTCTGCGCTTGGCTGACTAAAAATCTACTATGACGAACGCGAAAAATAATTAGAAAGCTCCACGTGAAGTAGCACATCAAAAGAGAAATATTGTTTTCGGAATCGCCATTTTGATCATTATGTCAAATACGGTTCTCCGGCGAGAACTCCGGTGGGAGTACTATGCGACGTACGTGAAGTCGAATTCCCCAGATCTCCGTAAATTAATGAATGACAAGAGTAATGCGATCAAAGGTAGGTACAAAATTTAAATTAAACACTCACACGCAAAAACTGGGCGTCGACACTGGACTACGTTTTATCGTCACGAAATCTGCAGTCTCGTTAGATAGACATTGCATTGAAATGATAACGCGACACTTCTCTCACTTCTGGTCTATTCACACAACACTGCTGAATCAACTGGGATGAGTTCCTAAAACGTAATTACAATAACCAAACTTCTATTGTTCACGTGAACTATAAAGTTTTAAATAAATATTCTTTACGTTTTGAAACGCATTCCAGAGGCCCTATTCTTGAGCATATACGAATAATTTTCGCATATGAAAATGACTGTTTCTCGACTGTGATTAGACGATTACATACGGAATTGCTATTTTCGTATGCAATATTTGTTCAAGAATTAGAACTCAGGATGAATAAGTGCATTCAGACAGAACGGCTCACTGAGCTTTTTTATCTGATTGGTCTATATTTTAGGATCTAACGGAATATGCCAATCAGATGTAAGAGCTCAGTGAGCGATTGTTATTCTGAATGCACCCATTGGTTGCGTTCAGCAGAAAAAATTAAATATGCTTAATGATTCATTAATATGATTGGTTCTTGTCTTAAGCTTCTTCGTTAAATCTAAATGTAGGAACTAAATATAGTCATTGGTTATGTTTAGCGGACTCAATGATTGAGTAAACTCACTCGTTGTGTTCAGCAAAACACAACAGTTTTGCAACCGTTTTATGATTCTCTGTTAAGATAGAACCATTTCTTAATCTAAAAACATAACCCAATCAAGGCGAAGAAAACTTCCAACAGTTGCAAAATAAACGTTCTGCTGAACGCAGATTGATGTATTCTTCTAGATTTAAAATTCTGATTAGATGATCTAAAAGAATACACCAATAATAGCGAGCGCTCTCAACTGTTGAGTCCATTGAATACACCTATTGAGCTGCTTTCTCCGCTAATCACAATCAGCTGAGCAGCTAGTGGCGCTAATATTTATGTTAATGCAAGTTTCTTTCTTGAGTGTTCATAGTTTTCGGTACTTGGAAAGGTTTTGTATTATGTTATAAATCAGTTGTAAACAAAATCGCGAATAACGTAGAGACACTTGTCGGTTGAAGTAGAATATTACAATCGAGTTATTAAAAAAAAAAACTATTCCTACATTATTTATATAATAAATTAATAATTAATTTTCTGAAAGTTCGGATTGAAGAAATCTAAAAATGCCTTTGCCAGCAGCATTAGCTGCACGTCTTGCAAAAAGGGGGTTAATCACTGGATCTGAAAAGCATGGTAAATTTATTTTTCAAAATATAATTACATAATTATATGTTGTTATAAATTTTCTATGTATTGAATTAGTTTCCTTTCTATTAATAAAAATTATTTATATGAATTTTGAAGATATCGTTGCATGATTTGTAATGTTAGGTTAAGTTATTAATTTTGCAGAATCTGGGAAAAAAGAAGCAAAAAAGAAAGTGCATGAAGAAGTAATAGCTGAAGATTATGATAACACAAAAGAAGAGATTAATCAGATTGACATATCCCAAAAATTTATGGTAAATGTGGCTATAAGTTAACATTTAATTTCGATTTGTGTAATAAAACATAAATTTAAATTATTATTAAAAAAAATTTTATTTAGGGTTATAGTGGGTGTCCTAATAAATACAATATTTATCATGAATGTACAAAAAAATGTAAAGAGTTATGGGGAATTGGACATGCGCAACCTTCGGACAAATATTTGAAACAACAAATGAGATTAATTCAAAAATATCCATTGCCAGAGACTTGGAAAGCTGTTTATGATCCTGGATCGTAAGTACTAATAATTTCTTAGTCTTCTATAGGTAAATTAATTTTTTTTTTTCCAAGAATAGTGCTAATTTTTGTATTTCGTAATTAAATATCTTTTTAATTATCAAAAAATAATTTTTAGTCTTTTTTTTAATAACAATATTTATGAAATATTGTTTTTATTGAATTATTCAGTAATATTTGAATAATAATATTTGTGATGTCTTATTGTATATAAGATATTGTAGATAGAAAAATATTAATATATCATCTATTCATAGTGGACAACATTATTATTGGGATTGGTCTTCTGATTTGGTATCTTGGTTACCACCGGGTCATCCTAAATGTCAAATATCACAACCTGCATCTCAATTACGTGAAGAATTGCATTTGAAGGCAGGAGATCAAGATGATAATTTGTCAAGTGATGATAGCACTAGTGATCAAGAGCAAATGGAAGTTAGTAATTATATTTTTTGTGTATTTATAGATTTACAATTTACAATTTAAGATTTACGACTAATATTGTGATTATTCAGGTAGAAGAAAGTGAACCCGTCAAGAAAGACAGAAAGATCGAAAATCGTTCAAGATATAAAGGACCAGATAACAAAAGAACTTATAGATCTGACAGAACTGATAGTAAAGATGCTAAAGATCGTACTTTAGATCCTATGGATCCAGCATCCTACAGCGATATTCCTAGGTATGTATTCCTATTCACAAAAGTTCACAGATTAACATATGTGTACCTCATAAAATTTTTATTTATATGTATATCGCATCGTAGGGGGAAATGGTCAGACGGATTGGCTAAACATAATGAAGCTAAAACTGGTGCTGACACGACCGCCTCAGGTCCTCTTTATCAAATGAGACCATATCCCAGTCCAGGCGCGGTGCTTCGCTCTAACAGAGCTAATAAAACAGAATCGGAATTGTCCAGCAAGCCGAAAGTTTCGTTTCCTGAAAAACCGGAATAAATAAATACATTTTGTGATAATAATGACTTAATTTTATGTGATTATGTTAATATATACTAATAATAATGTTGTTACATTAAAATATACTTAATGACAATTATTCGGCACGAGAGATCATTTCACTGTAAAGTATATAGTAAATATAACTTTTAGATTAACGAGAACATCAAATTATGCCTCATAATTATTTGATATTTTTTTATCAACGGAAATTTTTCAGTGTTCATATGAAGTTTCCAAATCAATTATTTAAATTCTATTATGTAAACGTTATAATAAGTAATAAAGACTAATAAATTTTAAAAACTAGAAAATAGGTAAATATTTTGATTCTATTATTATAAAAAAATATTTATAAATCTGCTAATTTGTACGTGAGAATCTAATGGGCATATGATAGATAAATATGTTTTTCATAACATGTGATTATTCTTGAGAATATTCTTATCAGAAACCGTATCTTTACAATTATGTATATCGATAACTTCAGGATAAATTTCAAGATTGAAGTTTAAAGAATAAACTATGTTATCGATTAATATAAATAAAACGTAACAATGTTTCAATCGCATTACCTTAATATGAAGTTGAAAAGAAGAAATTTTATTCGTCGATTAAATGCAATTGCGATTGTATACAGAGTAATACATATTTTAATCTTATCAGGTAATTATATCGGAAAGAAAGCGTTTGTGAAACAAAATTTCGAATGGAAATTATAAGATTGGTAAACAAATGAAATCAATTTTTGAAAAAAATTAATTTTTCATGGTTATTATGTAAAGATCATTACTATTTTTTAAAATAAAATTGCATAAATTTTTTATATAATATATTTTTTCTAATTATGCATAATATATTTTTATAATATATTTTTTCTAATTTGCATATAAAAATATTAAAGTTGAATTATTAAAAAATAATAGTTTTTACGAGATTACATATTATTCTTTATTTCAGCACGTATTTGATAGAAAATATAAAATATTTTGTACAATTAATTATATCTTAATGATAATAAGATTAGAAACAAGATCGTTTATGTGAATAATTACAACGCCTTATACTTTTATGCATAAAATGAAATTAATTAATTTGTGTGAGTGAAATACATATTTGCAGATAATTGTAATTTTATATCATATTGTAAATTATATAATTTTTCCTTCTTTATCATCATATCATATTAATTTTTTTCGAAAATTTAAACATTATTTACCCCCCTTAACGCTACAGCTTTTATAAAAAATTTATTATTAAAGATGCTTTTCAAAATACATTGTCTACTGATAAGATGATTAAATTAAATTACATAGTATACTGCATAAAATGTTAAATAGTAATTAAATACTCTGGTATACTCGAGAAAATTATCATTCAAATAAATTATTGTCAAGCATGTTTGTATGTTCACATTGCTATATATAGTTGATTATGGATCGAAAGATAAAGAATACAATTTATCATATTAACGATGTTAATCATCGATATAATTTGAACTACCATATAAACATCATAAACTATTTATTACGAACTTAAGGAGGTTCTTCAGTTTTTTCACATAATATAAAGATCCCAAGTAGCAAGTTGTAGTCATTTTGACATCAGTCATTTTAAATTATTGACGTTACACTTATAATTTAAGATATATTAATTATGGATATATTGAAAAGTATTCGACCTATATATATATATATAT